AAAGAAATTTCAAAAGTGATGTAGATTGCCATGCATTTGTGACTGCTCCTGAGAATTTTTGTTCCAATGTCTTTGCACAGTCAGATGGTTTAATTATTATATGTTCAGGCATTTAAAGTTGACAGTATTCTTTTCTTCACATTAAATATAAAGGACACTTGTATGTTCTTATTTTTATATATGTTTGACATTCCAGATACCGATAATGATCATAGCTTTGTTTTAAATAGTGATAATATCCGTCATTTTATTTCTAGTTGATCAGCATGGCGGCCCAACGGTATATCCCCCAGATCCAGTTAGTCTGAATCTACAGAAAAATGATGAACAAAAAACAGAAATCACTGTCGACAAATTAGTGATGGAAGCCGCCGTGAAACCTTTATCTGACCTGAATATTAAATATCCACCATCAGGAAACACAGACCAACAACACAGTCAACTGACAAGATTTGATGAAAATGAGCAAGATATTTATGGGGAGGGGCGAGGTTATAACAAAGAAGGTGGCGTTCCACAGTATATTCCAGATGAATATGCTTTCCAACCACGACCAAGTCAACTTGTACCTCGTCAATTTGACTATGACTGCTCAATGAATGAAATTAGTGATACTGTTGAGTTCTCTGTGCTTAGTAAACCTCCTTCTGATGGTATTGGTGTTGATAGTGAACTGTCTCAAACTGGTTTATACCAAACTGACGAAAACGATGAAAAACTGCATAACATTGGTTTCGACCCGGCAAATCCAGTGGAGAATATTCCTGCTAATCTATTTGCAGATATCGATGACAATTCATTGGCAACTCTTCGGTATGCAGGAGGTAATGATATTTCACCTCCAAATCAGAATGAGTTGTGGAGGAATGAAACGCAGCCAAACATCACAGAGAGTGGTGGTAATGCACCCAGAGAATGTCCTGTCTGTTATGCTCTTTTCCCTCACACAGTCTCCATGAATGACTTTTCACATCATGTGAACGATCACTTTGAGGATGAAACCTTTGCAATTGTCAATCCACCTGTGTTATAATCAGTGTACCTCTAAAAAATAATAACTGAATAGATTAATGAGGTTTTGCCATACATACATTTATGGCTTTTTCCAGTGAAGGAAAAATTAAACCAAAAACTGACTTTTGAAGTTACAATGTGATTAAATCCAACTATTGGTATATACAGCCTTAAAACCTGTAAAATGTTAGCGTCTCTGTATTTAAGGTGCTGAAGTAATACATAAACGTACACATATGTGGGTATAACTTAACAAACTAACGAATTGGCATAAATACATGTAAATGTTTAGTTTTCAAATACTGTGAAATACTTTATTTTAACTGGAATTAATTTTCACTGAAAAGATTTTTTTGGTGTTTTGTTTGGAATTTATTTTAACTGATTTTTGACGAGTTGAATGTAAAATATAGTGAAAAAATTATATTCGCTGGATTTTATTTTCACTGAATCATCCCTTCATCGAAAATTAATTCCAAGCGAAAATAAAATATTATACAGTATTGGTATATACAGCCTTAAAAAATCATTAAATGATAGCCTCTCTGTATTTAAGGCTCTGAAGTAGTACATTTACGTACACATACATAACAAACTAACGAATAAGAACATTTTTTTATTGGCATAAATACATGTAAATGTTAAGTTTTCAAATAAGTTCCACAATTTACGTTTAAACCAATTTATTGCCTTCCACAAAATAAACCTGCAACATTTTGATCAAGATTTGCGAGGGAATTTAAATTCTGTACAATTTACTCTAAAATGAGCAAAGAAATTGTAGAAAAGTACATAAAAAGGTTTAAACATTGATTCACAGCCCAAACAAATTTACGTAACCACGTGGGCCTGCCATAGAAACACTACTGTACTGTAAAGGGGTTAATTATTCACTGGGTTTTAATTTTGCTTATTTCGCTGACTGGAAAATGCGCTAAATTTAAACCCAGTGAATATGTAAAATTTAGCACAGAACACAATTATCTAAATGATAAAACCGTGAATTTAAAACCCACTGAATATGCCTGAAATGGTAAATCAGTGATATTTAAACCCAGTGAAAATTAGTCATTTTACAGTAGTGTGTCATCCTTCATTACTTGTAGTTTAGATGGTGGAATATGAGAAAATTAATATGAGTTATATAAAAAAAAATCCTAAACATGACACAGAGATAAGCAAATAAAATTTACAGCAACATTACGTGAAGAGAGAAAGACTAGGTGAAGGGAAAAATTTGCACAGTAGTTCTACCCCCCAAAAAAGTTTCCAATGATTATCTTTCCGTTCTCTTAATACTGTATTGTATGTGCTCTAAATAACGGAGGTGTGTCTATGATCAAAATAAGTCATATTTCATTGATCAGGCATATAATATACTGTGAAATACTTTATTTTTGACTCCCATGTGCGAAGCACATAATGGGAGTCTTTGCAGTTAGTGTGTGTGTGTGTATGTGTATGTGTATGTGTGTATGTGTGTCCGACTGTTCCACTGCTATCTCAAAAACCATACATCGGTTTTTGATGAAACTTGGTGCATAGATGCTCTGGGCTAATGCGCAGATTTGATTAGGTTTTGGTAAAAATCCATGCTCGTTAATTACCTAATTTGCATGATAATTAGCTAATTTTTA